GCCTATCCATGATATTAAATTGACGTTAACACCTATGTTTTCTAATTTCTTTAAAAGGACAGCTGGCTGGATAGCAGTATTAAAGGCTGACGAAAAATCAACAAACATGAGAGCTTAAGAGAGCTTAACTTTAAAGGCATAACAGTTAGTTTTAAGTTTTAACTTAGTAGAGGTCTAACGGCGCTCGCAACTGCATAAGGTCATATTATGAGCGCAAGGAAATTCTAGGCCTAACATGAGAGTAACAAAAACAAAAAAGAAGGAAGGATAAGGACGATAGATGTTAAATCGGATGGTAGGATGAAACCACACAAGAGTATGTATTGCTAACTACCACTTCTGCACACACACACACACACACACACACACACACACACACACACACACACACACAATATTATGCTGTCAAGTCCTTGCTTTAAATAACAAATACACAACAACGACACAATAAAAGCCTTTAATGTGCAACAAAATCGAGTAAGACAGAAACAACACAGGGAACGGAAAGAAGTAGGACCTACATGTACCAGTGAGTGGCGCCCTTCAATCAGCCGCACCGCTATGGCCGCTTTTCACGACAGGCAAACAAACAAACAACCAATCAAATAAACAAAATATTAACAAGAATCTCTCGCTCCCTCCCCCTCCCCACCCTCAACTTAAAAAATCAACACACAAAAAAGAGAGAGAAAAAAGTAACCAACAAACAACAAAATACTTTTTAAAATAAAAATTAATCATTCAAACAAGCTCGGCCATTTTCCCTCTACTTCTCTTGTATGTTTGTCACACTCTTGAGACCCGCTTTTTCCGGGCTGCCCCGAGTGTTGAAGCAGACTTTGTGCTGTCGAAGCTAGAGAGGTGAGCAGACTAAGTCAGATTCCCTGTGAGGACTTCTCTGTTGACATCCACCTCTTGGCGCTCATTAATATGACCTTAATATGCAGTCTACTAAAATAAAACAAAAAAAAACAAGCTCGCCAACAACCAACCATTCCTACTATAACAGATCTATATTCTCGATCTACAAGTCACAAACAAGACAGTTAGTCTTAGTCGAGGTTTTAGGCCGTTCGCAACTGCATAAGGTCATATGAGTGCCAGAAGATTAGAGGAGTTACAAGAGAGCAACAAACATAAAAAAGAAAAAGAGGAGATAAGGAAGGTAGATGGTTGATAAGAAAAAAAAGAAGCAAACCACACCATAGCACCCGCCAACCACCCACCAACAACAAACAAACGAACAATCAAATAAACAAAATATTAACAAGAATCTCTTT